AGATGCGACACACGCACGTAGAGAACTATATTTTTAAAAAGAAACGCGAATGCGCGTGCAAGACCAATGTGGAAGATATATGTATATATTAAAAATATATACATTAAGATAAAGGATATTTCTTTAATAAATGGCGATGGGTCTCTTCTAATTGTGATTTAATTATCATATTGTCGAATAAATTAACAATTATGAAGTGTAAATATGAATATAATATGAATATATAATTTGAAATATAAGCCCACGTTTCTTTTTAAGTTAATGGTTGCTATTCAAATACTTACTTCTACATGTAATATTATATTATATTATATTATAAGTCATAATATTAAGTATTTCAACTATATTAAATAAATAAAAGACAAATATGTGTTATTAATGAGATGCTAATAAATAAATAATTATATATAATTGCCAGATATAATAGAACAATGATTTCCAATTTGTTTATAATAAGCAATTTAAAATTAAATATAAAAAATGTTTTCATTTAATTCCGTCTCAGCTGTTTTGAAATTTAGCTTCGTCACACACGCCATCGATTTAGCAAAACAATTTCAAAATTTTGTATCGATTTACGCAACGCATATATTACGTAAATGTCATTATTTATTATATACAATTTTTGTAGTACATAGCAGTTATATTTTTATATTTATTATAATATCAATTTCCCATATATAATTTCTATATAATCTCCAAATTTTATCTAAAACCTGCGTAACATGTATAATTTTTATCGTATAGAATTTAGCTAATTACACGTCACGGTAAAAATAAACAGCACACACTAAGCATCATTGGAGAAGATATGGAAATATCGAGCATGAGACGAACCGACAAACAATAACGTAACACACTTTCATAAGATAAATTTTTCATTAGAAAAAGACTCACTGCATCTTAGCGGGCGTAACAGACTGATACGCTTCGATATCTTCTCCTCTTCCTTCGTTGATGCTCGTCTTCGTTATGTACGGAGTAGAGGAGGCAAAGAAAAAAAGCGGTGCCGGGAAAAAAAAGAAAGGAGCCAGAGAGCGTCCCGTATCTGTCACCGGGCAGACAAGAACTGAGCGCAATATAATCTAACAGAGTGCACGAAACGTCAAGCCGAATGGAGTTGGAGGACCTCGAAGGTGGTCAGGATTTCCCCTTCTGCAATTCCTTCCCCACTCGAAGAGACCCTCCTGCGGTGACGGACAATTATCCCCACTTGTTATTTTCTACGTGTTTTCCCCTCCTACCGAGATATCACCGGCGCGATCACATTTCGCAGTGTACCCCAACTTTGCCTTTTCTGACGGAGTTCGTCACGAGAGATCCCCACCATCGTTATCGACTACTCAAGACGCCCCACTGTTTGACGTTCTCCACCGATTACGTCTCGTGGCGAATACTCGCTTTCGTCTTCGTCCTGTCTCGACTGCCGTCGCGACGCCACGGCATAGACGAAGCGACGCGACGTGTTTTTTTTTCTTTTATCTGACAGTTCTCACACACACACACACACGCACAATTAACAATATTTTAAATTTAAATAGATTTGATTTTTGAAATATTAAACTCCGGATTATCTGCGTAATTGCGATTTGAACAATAGAATATTAATTGTATTAAGCAATTCACAGTCGGATATTTAGAGTTTTGGAATAAAAAAACATTATGATACAAAATGAAAGTAATTGTCGAATGACAAATTGATGCTTGTCGGAGTGCTTCGTGTAAAGTAAAATTTACCACGTGCCACTTCCGCCGGCATGCTCACATCGAAAGACTATGCTCGTAGTAAAGAAAAACAAATGTTGAAATCATCTTTAGGTGTAGAGACAGCTGCGTATTGCACGCGTATTGCATGTACCTCGTGATACCTTAGAATCGATACAATATGTATATAAATATTTTACATAAGAAATTGTAACAATTATGAGATTACGTAAAATATTTAACACTCATTGAAATTTTTAATTTCATGATAACTATTAAGTGTTTCAAAAAAATAAAAAGTTGTAATATTACAATTTAAAAATTTGAAAGAAATATACGGATGGTATTGGTATAACAATAAGTACACCGAGAATTCATAACAAAAAAGTAGAAAGGTTAAACGATACGAGTTTGTCTGGTACGAAGGGTTTCGTTCTATATAATTCGTAGAAAGGTAGTGTCGACGTGTGTGTATGTGTATTCATGAACTGTAAACTCTCTCAAATGATTCACAAACTTTGCACCACTATTAACGATCGCGATTTATGAATTCTCGAGTTTCTTTCTTCGTATTGTAACTTTGTTTTTCATAGATTTTTAAATTACTCAAACTATGCGTGTAGCATAGTTAATAAAATATTCTTATAACTAGCTCTCAGAAAAAAAGAGAAAGAGAAAAAGGAAATTTTAATTATTTTTTCATTATAACTGTATGTAGTTTTTTATTTATCATATATTATTGAGATTTATTTCACTATATTAATTAATTCGTGTCATAGTGTGTAACTACTGTAACTAATCCTCTACTTCATCTTAAATTATAAGATTGTTGCTGGTGCTGTCATACTATAAGATACATTAGGATTATTAGACAATGATAGACAATTATGACAACGAAGATTAGTGTTATCTGATATCAGTAAAATCAACACCATATTAATAACGAATAATTTTAATTTGCAGAATGTAAGATTTAAATAAATTTACGTAATCATTGCATAAGAGAACGAACAATTTCTTTGCATTGGCGCAATCTTTCAGATCGGCCAAAAAGTATAACAAAAAGAAATAACGAAAAACGGATCACAATTTGTACTCGAACTTTTGCTATCAATTTTAAAGGTCGCGGCCCATGCACGTGTACAGTGCGTGAGTTAAGAAATACTTCATCTTTCTTTTTCCTCCTCCCTCTCCTTCTCTCTCTCTCTCTCTCTCTCTCTCTCTCTCTCTCTCTCTCTCTCTCTCTCTCTCTCTCTCTCTCTCTCTCTCCCCCCTCTCTCCCTGCCCCCTCTCTCGCTCATTCTACATTTCTTCTCGATTACATCCGCCACGATGAAAGTGAGCGTAATCATCCGACTGTTCTTTTTTCGTGGAATTGCGGGGTAACAGTCAATGGGAATCTATCAGTCAATCGCATTCATCGGTCAATAAAATCTTATCGGATGCAGATCCGACGCATCAGATAAGACTAGCTATATTGATGGATAAAATTATGGGTAAAATAAATGAAGTTGCAAAAATAAATCTTTTCAAAAATAATTTTTTGTTTTGTAAATTCTTATTGAATTCGTATTTACCGTGAATTCATATTTGCCAAAGGTGCGATTCTTCCTTTACGCATTCCCATTTATTGTCACGTAATAAAGATAAATTCAACAGTTATTGTGCGCGCCGATCAAATGAATCAATATAGAACCATGGATATGACGCTTGACGCCTTTGACGCAAGTCTCGCGATGCGAGCAATCTGTCTCGTTCCCTTCTTAGAATCGGAGGGTGGCAAACAATGCGATCTGCGAATCATTTCGATCGGTGAACGAACCCTTATCATTAGCAAGCATCGGACATGAAGAAAAAAGCGCGAAGAGCAAAAGTCGTATGAAATTCGAGTAAAATTATCCCCCATTCGTTATTTAATTCAACCATCATCAATCTCAGCATTTCTTGTTACTTGAGATACCGCGCGGCGTCTTATAATTTAACCTATGTATTAATTATTATCATAAAAAGATTAGGGTTCCTTTAAAAAAAAAAAGTTAAAAAAATTTCTGTCGACGAATGTAACAGGATGTAGAAGAAAAAAAGAGAAACTGTTAAAATTGTGAAACAACTAATTGACGATCAAAGACTGAAGGAACAAACTGTATCGAGAGGATCGTGACAGAGAGACGCGATCACCTTAGGATCTCGAGTACCTAAATTTAAGGGCTCGTGCCCGAGAAAAATCAACAAACATGGCAGTGAGGTGGGGACAATCCACGCTTTCATATGGTTGTTAGCATAGGGACAGGCAGTCTTCCGACGGTTGCGCTTTGTTTCGGGCTGTATATTAAGTATCGCCTACGCACACAGACCTGCGTGAAGCGGAATAGCTCTTAAAGCTCGCGAGTAAATATTTTTGCGCGCAGGAAAGGACTGTACGTTTGCATGAATGCAATAATCTGAGTATACGTCTTGCAGGATAGTGCGTTTGATCGTACCGCACTTCCGATAAAAATTATTTTTCAAGATAAAATTTTTTATATCGTTGACGTAAAACACATCAAGGATGATAAACTAGCTAGTTCACAATTCATGTGTGTTCAATTGACCGATTCCTTTTAGAACAAATCACGATTTTAAAGCCTCCAGCATAAAAGCACCGAGATCATTCTCATTTATCTAACTGTAAATTAAATATAATTTAAATTCTATTTACGTATAAAAATTAACGTTAAAACGCAAAATTACTCATTATATTCTTATTCTGCACACAAGAATGACATATGTATCGACGTATGACAGATCGTACTATATCTCATATCTCAGAGACGGCTGAATAAGTTCCCGGTAAATGACGAACTTGGAACAAAATAATTTTCTATATGAGATAACCACAGATCTCGCATAAAAAAAGTACATTGTAACGATGTCAACGAACGATGCTACGCATACTTAACGATGCAATTTAATATTACATCGCTATTGATTTTTTTGTAAATGGTCTTCTAACAATAAAATGTCAATAGCACATCTATACGTCGCTTCAAAAGAAGACGTCAAAAATATTTCGCGTTCAATACTAGTTTATTTATTGATTTATTCTATTTTCGGCACTAAAATAAATAATTTTACCTTTAATTTTACCTTAACAGAGAATGATTTTTTTCTATAGACGAAGAAACGAGAAAAAAGTATTGTTTCGCCAATAACAGGAATCAAACGATTTTGAAGTTAATTCCGTTCACACCTGGCACATTCGTCCGTTGCGTCACGCAACGATAATGATAACGATAACGATAACGATCGTCACTAACCTGGAGAGTGGGCCGCTGGGCGAATGTGGCGCGGAGGGGCCTTGATCGTGTTGGTCCTGATGATGATGGGGGGTGCCGGCGGCATGATGCGTGTAGATCGAGTCAATGTACAGCTGATCGGACACGCGCTCGGCTTCCTGCAATCCGTGATTGGTTTGCACCGACGGTGGTTGCATAGCCGTAAGATGCGTAAAAGATTGCAATCTGCCCTGTTCAGTGGGACTATAACTCTCCTGGCCTTGGTGATGTGGCGACGAAAGACCCTGATCGTCGTGCGGACTATGACTAGAAGTCGGGGAGCCGCCGACGGTCCTCACCGATGGAGAACCGCCGCTAGTGCGGATCTGATGTTGCAAATAAGGCTCCTCGGACAATACGTCCTCCAGGTGGTGCGACGTATGATGATGATGATGATGATTACTGCCACCATTGCTGGACGTAGTGCTTGACGAAGTGAGATTCGGGAAGAGTACACCTAAATAATCACCCCGTGCACCTCTCATGGCAGCTGTAATGCCGCTCACCCCTCGATCCACGTCCTCGTCAGTTTCTTGGTGATGTTGCTGCGGATCCTCTAGATGACGATGAGCAGAGGATAGAGCGGTATGTTGATGCACCTCGGATAAATGATGATGATGATGATGATGCTGTTGTTGATGGTGATGGTGGTCCGTCGTAGTTGGTGAGAGCGTCTCGGTACCGTAACGATGCATCGTGGAGTGAGGCATGTGACTGTTGGCGCGGCGTCCCTCCGGCGTGATGGAGACCTCCGTCGGGTGCCGGTTATCCCCTCCCTCGGGAACCGGGACCTCTCTCGCCCTAAGCTGAACATACTGTTGTGCCTGTTGGTGATGGTGTTGCGGCGGCGGTGGCGGCGGCGGCGGTTGCTGCTGCTGCTCCTCCTCCTCCCTCATATCACCGCCCCCAAAACTTCGAGGGTTACAAGAAAATAAAAAGACTTTTTATTAACTAACATATGGTGGAATTCGGCGATTAATAATTTCGATCTTTTGATACATTTACAATGGTAATTTTTTTAGGTGCTCGCGCAATTAAAGAATTTGTTAATGACAATCCTTATAATACTAAAAAATGTGTCCTAAACATTTTTAATATTGCTTTAATATTATTGGAGAGAATCGTATATAATAATAAACATAATTCCAGAATAAATTTAGAAATATAAAAGAAAGGAAATTTCAAACTCCACGCAAACTGTAGTGAGGCAGTTCTGTTCCGAAACGCAATTGTAAAGGGGTGCAAAAAAATTCCGCGATTAAATTACGTTGTTCTACCAGTGTTTTATACAGAATATTTGCCGATACTTGATCAGGATATTTGTCCTGATTCACTGACCTCTCATGGATTATGTGTGTGGGTTGATAGTCGAGCTCATGAAGGGTATAAGTAGTGTTAGGATCTTCGTTGGCATGATCATCGGCAGCAGCGGCGACGGCGGCGACCGCAATAGCGACTGCTTCGGCACCGGTTGGTTCAACCATGGCGCCATTTTCCATTTCCGGCTGTCCCGCCTCTAGCACGCCCACACCGCTGTCCTCCTCTCCAGCCTCCCCGGTCGTCACATATGCCAGCTGTTGCTGCCGTTGCTGCTGCTCCTGCTGGCCGACTTCGTGCCCGATGACGTCCTCGCTCTTTATCGCCGTCGTCGCCACTGCTTTCCCTTCTTCCTCCTGCTTGATGATTGCCTCCCTGGTGGACTGCGACGCTGGTTCCGTAGCCCCGACATATCCGATCAAGACTGTATAATCGTCAAATCGAATCATTGGATATCTCACTTGATACTTGATAAATTATAAATATATTTAAATCTAAATTAAAATGAACAATCTTAGCTATGCCGTACACCGTAGCTATGTACTTTTGGAGAGCGCATAAACGGAGATAAACGACATCGAAGCTATCAACAATAAATTTAGTACTATTTTTTATCTTAAGTTTATATTATAAAAACTAATGAAAAATTAATAATTTTTCAAATTATGTTATTCTAATTTACAACACAAAATTCTATGAAAGTAAATTATGTGGTTAAACTATCAAGAGTACAGAATATTAATATTTTACATTTAATTGCTGTAAATTCTTGCAGGACATTTCTATTAAAAGATATTATGCCGTGAAGATGATATCATTGATATTTTGTTTTATCTTTTTAAGTATAAATTGGTTATTTTTTAAACAGCGAAAATAAGTATGATCGGTGGTAACAAGTTGCATAACCACGTCACAAGGTTCCGAAACGTAGACTGGGTATTATGAAACTGTTAGGGGGGAACGGATTTCGATCAAAATTATTCCTTTTTCCCTGTAGAAAACACGATGGAAAGCTAGAAAATAATTAAACAATTCCCTGATTCGCGTACACGTTTTCGTAGCATACTTCTTCATGTGTAAAAGGCAATGTCGTAAAAAACGACAAACAGCACATGTTTAAAGAAAACGTGTTCATTAGCACCCAACATTTCGGTATCCGCTCCAAAAGAAATGTTTTTCTATTCTCTTTTGTTTTTCAGCGCATAATAATTATGGTCTCATATGTAATTTATTACCATGGTTCTTTTCCTAAAAGAAATAATAATATTAAATGTTGCAAAATTGAGGAAAACAATCTGCTTCGATATTTTTCCTGAAAAAAAAAAAATCTATTCTTATTTATATTAAATTAGTCGGAAACTCTTGAATTGAAATTAGAATCTCGAGCTAGTACTGTGTGTTTATAAAATATTAATTATAAATTTATGCAAAATGTATGTAAAACAAAAAGTTTTTGGTTTAACTGACCAGCTAAAATGGATGAATTGTTTCGGTTACATGCCCATTTTACTTTACAATCGAGTAACCGCGATCACATAAGCGCGCAATAAAAACCGCAAGAATGTTGAAATCGATCGAGATTCGACAGAGGCATAGGACACACTGCGTGATGACATCAAGAAACTGTTGCTAGCCGGTGCGTTACAAAAATAACCACGTGCTCTTATCTACGCGTCGTTAGTGGTGGCACACGCACTCACGCACTCACGCACTCACGTACAGATGGACACTGCATGCATATACAAAGAAACGAGAAGGAGAGAGTAATAAAAGGGGAAAGAGAAACGAAGCTAATAAGAGTAAAGAAATGAAGAGAATGATTTCGACGAGCTGTTCTCTCTCTCTTGGGACGATAAAAATATTATTTTTAATTATCGAGGGGTTCACGCGTATCATGTTAGGACTAACGAGCACATATGTAGTAATCCTAATAGCCTTCTCAATTTTATTTATTTATTTAAATCTCTTAATATGTCGATTCTCGAAAATTCCATATTTCAAATAATTAAAACGAAATGCGGCATACTGAACGTACACTTTCGCGCTCTTAACAGACCATTGTCTGACCTCGAACGATGTAATATGGGTCGATCGTGACGATTTGATGTGTAACTCGATTGTCCATGCGGCCGCTGAGTAATCGGTCGCATGAACGTGCGGCACATGAGGGAAAACCTCAGGAATGTCACGTGCGCCCCGTAAAACCGATCTGATCCTAGCTCGTGACTTTGCTCATCCGACAAAGTTCAGATATCATCGTGCATCTGACTATGACTAATATTTATTTCTATATTGAGAGAGAGAGAGAGAGAGAGAGAGAAAAAGAGAGAGAGAGAGAGAGAGAGAGAGAGCATTCGTTTAAAATTGTCCAAGCTAAAATGTTGTGTGAATCATCAAGTATTCGGCGCAATATGAAAATTCCCACAACTTTACTTTATTTAAGGTTTATTATTTTTTCGTCCAAAAAGTAATAGAAATTAAAAACAATTAAATTGCGGCTTCGAAAGTTATCGTAATCATCTACCACCTTTTTACTCGCTCTCTTTGACATGCTTTTAATATTATGTGAAAAACAATTTTTGTATACATTAATTAATTTACATATTGATATATATATATATATATATATATATATATATATATATGTATACTCTTGAAAATTGTACTTTATCTTTATATAAATCTGAATGATAAAGTATCTTTCGTTCGAAGAATGCACAAGATTCAATAGCGACTTCATTCAAGCTACCGCTACTTAATATCACCCCTGAAGGCGGTATATCGACCGTTTAACATTCAACTGACCTTATTGACATTACCTAATCGAATTGGAAAGGTCAGGCTCATTGGATTATCTGTCGCTGCTGCTCGGCGAATTCTATTAAAAAACATATTTTTGCACAAAAGGTCCAAGTACAGTTCGCTTTGACCAACCTCTGAAATAATGTAAATAAAATGTACGTTTGTACGGGGTAGTCTGACGCGTTACCGATAATACTGCCCGTCAAAGATTACTCTTTCGACATCAAAAAATAACGTGCGATTATGCGAATTGTAGGTACTTAATTCCTTTTTAATTCTTTAATAAATTTTTTTAAATTAAAATTTGAAAATTAAATTTTAAATTTGGCTTTTATAAAACGCACTGTTTATAAAAACTTTAGATAAAAAACTTTAAAGATCAACGGAAAGGAATTAGCCGCCCCCATCGTATTATCTATAACGAAGAGATGCAGAGCTGCGACCCCGATTAATCATTCAATGAAGAAAATATACGCGACGGACATGTGCGGTTGCAGTGAAGAGGACCTTCTTCATTGTTGCAATAGTAAAACAAATGGTCGATGTGGACGACAAAGAAATGCGCGTAATCAACTTTAATTTTATAATGGTTGATATTATATTAACGCTTGGAGTGTCATGTCACCCATATCTGGGTAACACGTAAATTTCCGCAAAGGCTGTCATCCATTTGTGAGTGACGGTTTTATTTACCCGACGATTAAAGGTATTTTTACTAAATATTTAAGACATAAAGAAATAATATAAATTTTATCGAGACATTAAGAAAGGCAATAAAATATTAGATTTATTAAGTTCAATCAGTCGAAATCAGCTTGGCACTCAAAGTCTTAATCGAATATCGTTTCCTTATGTCAAACCAATATCCCTTACCTATAAAGTTTCATAATTGATATATTTCATCTTTTTTTGTACGTATGTCTTTCTATAAGTTTTTTAATTTCTAGATATCATAAAAAGAAACATTCCCTATATTAATATTTCATAAGATTTGCTTATCTTTAATATTAATTATTGCTCTATCATATTTATATCACGTTGTTTATTTTTAATAAACCTGTATTTCTTCAGACTGTTAATTGCAGTGATATGCAAGGTGCGCGTAATATAATGATTGAAATTATTTCAGCACGAGAGTTAAGCGTTTATTATCCCTGGAGATATACGCGAGAATTGATGGTACCACTTTCCTGAACGGTAGCCGCGGAGAGTGAGTTTCAGAGTCACTGGACGAGCGGAAGAGGTTTTGTACATCGAGGCCAGAGGTTGCTCTTATCTTCCAGACCCCCACAAAAACAGTCTCTGTTATCCGCAATACGAACGAACATGGTGCGTATATATATCGATGCGTTTTATGACGAGATTTTCAGAGATTGAATAGCCCCTTTATCTCTATCTTTCGAGCCCTCATCTTTTTTTCTTTTTACTTTCTTCCTCCTTCTATCTTTGTCTGACGAAATATTTAACCGTAATATAGTTTATAATACGTACAATAAATTTAAATAAAAAAGTTATTTAGATAAGATAAAAATTGTAATAATAGAAATATATAGCGTAGGTATTCACGTTTTATCTTAAAATCGGAGGAGAAAAAGAAGAAAAGGAAGAAAACAAGAAGACTCGAGAGAAATAAGAATAAAGAAACTGGTTCTTACATATTTCATAATTTTGTTAATTTCTTTCCTTATCTATGCCTATTAGAATTTAACAAAATAAAATAAAGACATTGGAAGAACAGGGGGTGCATTGTGGGTAGATGAGGTGAGGTGAGGTGAGGTGAGATAGTTGTTGGATAGGTACGATGTTGCGCCGTTGAGGTATGGGTTCTGCCTATTTCCGATAAGAAGAAAGCCAGGTGTACATCGTGTTTCTCGTGTACATCGTCCACGAGGGTGACATATTCTCGGCATGTCATTTGTAAATTTGTAATTTATAATCTGTGAATCAACATTCATATGTGCGCGCAAAAAAAATGATTCACACGGTGATTGAGTCGCCTGCGTTTATTCCAAACTGGCACGTATAAAAAATGATAAAGAGAAACGTATGTATCATCGCACGGCGATCAACATATTATAAACGATTAATACGTATTAAAAATTAACAATTTTTCATAAAATTAAAAATTAAAAATATATTTAAGTCTCCGCTCTAAGTATCCTGTATAATATTACTTTTGATAGCGAGATTATTACGTTAATTTTATTTAATAAAATAATTTTTTTTATCTCTTTTGATGACTCTATTCGCAATGAATCAAAGACAAATCGTCATATTCGAAACTGCTTACGCTGCTATATTCGCCATCGGAGTCGAGCGTCGTCACAGTGTCTGCCGCTGAAGCTGCACCGACGACTGTGACTGCTGTTGCAGATTAGGCTACTATGCGACTCTTAAAAGGCGATAGAAAGCCCGCAATCGCGGTGTGTACTCCGCTCGCCGTACGCACGCTTATGATAACTGCTGGCAGTAGAAATAGAAGATAATGCAATCGCTGTATAATCATACGTAACTCATTCATCCCGCGGCTCAAGATAGAGCTAATCTGCTTTACGTTACGTTTTCTCGTATCCTTGACAATTTTGTGTTAATTTTTGCTCATAGAATATCTACTTCAAGTAC